CTCCTGCTTATTCCTCTCATCAAACAAGGGCAATTTTGCAAGAATTTCAATGGGAAATTATGAGGCATCCACCTTGTAGACCTGTTTGGCTCTTCTGACTTTTTGTTTCCTAATGTTAAAAACATCCTTAAAGGGCACCTATTTTTCTTCCATTAATGAGGTAAAAAAGACTGCTCTCACACAGTTAAAGTCCCAGGACCCTCAGTGATTTAAGGATGGACTAAATGACTGGTATCAGGACTGGATGGTTAGCTCAGTTGTTTAGACAATGGTGCTGAGAACACCAAGGTCCAGGGTTCGATTCCTGTACTGGCCAGCTGCCAAATAAATAAATAAATGACTTTTATCATCACTTACAAAAATGTCTTGAATGTGATACAGCTTATGTTGAGAAATAAAGCTTATACTTTTTATTTTTATCTTTTAATTCCATTTTTCCATGAACTTTTCTGAGTTCCCCTCGTGTAAATAATATAAGGCCTTTGGTTAAAAAAATTCTCTATTTTTACAAGTTGTATTTAATTTTATTATTTATTGCTCTATTTAGTATGTTTACTTAATTCAGATTAAGTCACTTAAACCCCAGCATTGTCATCCATAAGTATTAATTACATACTAAAAACCTTAACATAAAAAGCCCTCACATATTATACTTGCATTACACTCTAGCAAAGAGTTAAGCCAAACACTATTATCTTGCATATCAAGGCTCAGCATATATCTGAATTTATTTCACAGGGAGCCTCAAAGCAAATTCAAACTTACGTTTGTTCCCTTATAACATATAGAAAGATCCTACATTAAATTTGCCTAAAACATGAAATCTGCATATAACATCTAGAAAGATCCCATATCAAATCTGCATAAAACATGAAATTTGCTTCACTTAATAAAAAATAAATACTAAAAAATAAATAAATAAATAAATAGGACAAAATAGATAGAGCGTGATATGAAGACTTAATTATTCGTATGAAGTACGTTTTTAACCTTTCCTTGATTCTTTTGTTCTGATTTATAGAGAAGCTAATACACATGTATTTAGCTTACCTCACTCATCGGGAAATCATNAAATACTGGAAGAAAACGTACAAGATCTTCCCAGAGCTATGTTATTTAATATTTAATTGACACAAATTCAACTAGTATGAGTCAGCTGGGGGTAAGGTCCAATGTTTTCTACAGAGAAACATTTTTTTTTTTGCCTATTCGTTTGTTAAAACAAGGCTATATGTGGAAAAAAATACTGTTTGGTAAGCAATATCTATTTTATTTATTATTTTATTTTATTTTAAAAAGCAGATGCATGGGCCATAGTTTTGACAGAAAAAGATAGGGATCATTCTTTTTTTTTTTTTTTTGTCTTTTGTCTTTTTCCGTGTCCAGCAACGGATCGCAACCCTCAGTGTTGCCCCCGTACCGGGCTGGGGACCGGCAATGGGATCGCAACCCTCGGTGTTGCTCCCGCGCCTCGCTCAGTCAGTGAGCGGGAACCGGTCTGTATGTGGGATCCGAACCCTCGGGCGGGAGCGCCGCCGCGCTTCCCAAGTGGCGCACTTATCCAGTGGGCCACCGGGCCGGCCCAATAGGGATCATTCTTGATATGATTTCTTTGACTTTGGCAGATTAACAAAACTCTTTAAAATTAACTAAAACAAACCTACCTCTCCGGCCTCATTCCCTTGCTCTCTTAAGTCCAGCCCACTATTCTTTCAGCCCCTGTACCTTTTTTCAGTTCCATGTTCACTCTTTGTGGCCTTAACACATAATTAGTCCTCTGTAAGGAATGCTCTCTCCACACCTTGTCCTAGGTATTTCCTCATATTCTTCAGATATCACCTTAAAAGTCACTTTCTACCCAGGGAAGACTTCTCTCACCTATCTGTCTAGTTCAAATCATCTTATGTACCTCTACTTGATGGCTGGCACTTGTCAGAGATTCAATTTTATGTGAATATGTGTACTTTTTGATTCATATCTTTTTTCCCCAAAACTACTGTAAGTTCTTGATCAGTGGGCACAATGTCTATTTTGTACTTGTAGCATACTCACTGGCA